GGTTTCAAGATAGAGTGAAGTCACATTGAAAACCTTCAGGTTTTTCAGATACTAAATAAAAATAGGAATGTCTAACTCTTACATCACCAAAAATGTCACCAAATGGATGACTCCCAGAAAAATCATCGGGGCCACCACCTGACGCTTGGCGCTCATAAGCTTCTGCTCCAAGCTGAAACAAAACAGTCATAATGAAAGAAAATCCAGTTGGATAATCGATCGAAAGTGAAAACCACAAATCACATATTTCATTATTTATGGCAGTATTAAGGCTCCATTTGGCATTTAGGTGGATTATCATAATCCTGTTTGGTGCAACTGCATTTAAATATTTTGTTGTTTGGTTAACAGCTTTCCTTCATTGATTTATAAAATAAATTACCATGAAGCTAGATTTATGTTCCTAGAGCAACTTAAAAAGATAAGCACATGCAGAGTAAAGCATGTTATTATGATATTATCATAGTCATAGGAAATAGTTTATAACCTGGTCGTATGTTTCACGCTTATCATCATCCTTCAAAACCTGAGATAAGCACAACGAATAGCACCTTTAAAATAAGAATGTCCTATTGTTAATCAAATGAAAAATAAATATTCATAACCAGGACTCTATACCTCGTAGGCATGCTGAACTTCTTGAAATTTCTTTTCTGCATCAGCATCTTCTTTATTAGTATCAGGATGGAATTTCTTTGCGAGCTGGGGAAGCATAATCAGTTTAGTTAAAACTTTGAGTAAAAAATAAAGGGAAATGTAGAGAAACAGACAAAAATATACCTAGCAAACACAGGTTATTGAGAATAACGTATAGCAAGCAAAGCATTCAATAAATGCCTGACCACTCAATAAGAATTAAGAAATATTACTGCAATATGATTTCAGGACACATTCTCCTGTGAGTGAGGGATATCTTCTCCCATAAGCCCCATCATCTGAGCCTCTTCAGGAAGTAACCTTTTCTTTATTTATAAAAACCTTTGGATGTAGAAATAAATAAAACACTGACTGTAAATTGAGTATTTGTGTGAATGTAACAACTAACCTAATGGTCTATTCAAATAATATGATTATGAATTACATACCTCTCAGGACAACAATCTAATAAAACATTGAGAGGGTAATATCTAGATTTTCTAATCAATAGACAACATCCTAAAAGTTCTGGATCTTAGTATGAAGTCAAGAGAAGGATCAAGTGTTTCCTCTTCATTCTTGCCATGCTCGCTAAATCCACAGGTGGCATGGGCATAGCATGCCGATAAATGAGCAAATACACAATTCAAGAAACAAAAAGTTGGATACAATATTTAGTTTCTTGAAAACACCATGCAACTACATACACAGCTCTTGCTCCATAGAGGCTTAGAAGTTAGAACACACATAATCTAGGAGATAGAGCAAACCTCTATGGTCTGTACAGCTGGAAACTGGCATGCAAATGCCCATGACTGCCTGCCTAATCTACTATGCAGAAGCCCTTAAAATTTAAAACTGGGTATGACCATCCCATGCTGTCATATTCAAATGGTGCTGGACAGCCAGTAAACACTAGAAACAGTTCAGAAAGCCATAGGGAAGATAACAGCTTTCCCCTGCTAATATGAAGTTTAAGAGTTCCAGCACTACACAATTCTCGAGCACTGTAGTCAAGATTGTAGATCAGAAAAATTAAGTGTAAGCATACGGTGGAATGCCAAACAACACATTATACTTCTCTATATATTTGGCTTAGAATTTAGACCATAGTTCACATTCAATACTCTCATACAAACATTCAGGAATTATACAGGAGCAGGACCCTCCAAAAATTCAATCAAATCAAATCTAGAGTAATCAATATCGCATTACCTTAACCAAGAAAAAGTAAAGTATATATATACCAGATAATATGCCTTCTTTATGTCTGATGCAGATGCATCTTTGTTCACTCCAAGAACATCATAGTAATCCCTTGCATTCATTCCCCTTGTGGCTAAAATCATACAAACAAAATCAATTATCATAAAGAAAAACAGAATGAACATAGAACTTTGCCAAAATAACAAAATCAGACAAAAAGAATAAAGGAATCATGCTAGCATTTCAAAAATCAAATACAGTGCAGTTTTTACAAATCAGAGATTTTATTACACAAGCATCGCGTCTGAGAGCCTTGAATAGGCACAGCTACATTTTTTTAACCGGAAAAAGCACAAATACATTGACAGGGAAATGGCAAAAAGAACAAATAAATATGGCATCCATCTTATAAATTTGTATATCCATCATGGATGAGTTTTGTTCGTTTATTCAGACAAATGGCATTAGCCAACTATCACAAATATTAGCATCAGCAATGGCCCCATTCATAGTAAAAACAAAAATAAAAAAAGTGACAACAATCGCTCTTTTATATAATCATAGTAAAGTGAAATAAGAGTGAACAAACCTGCCATTCATTGATTGAAACATTATCAACAAGTCAGTGGGAACTTGACAATACAACATATGTGTAGTACTGTTAATACATCTACTGAACTTTTTTGTATAGATCATGTAGTACATATTGACTACTCCCTCCGTTTCACAATGTAAGACTTTCTAGCATTGCTCATATACATATAGATGTTAATGAATCTAAACACATACATATGTCTAGATTCATTAACATCTAAATGAATGTGGGCAATGCTAAAAAGTCTTACATTGTGAAACAGAGGAAGTACATAACATATCGTGCAGATACGAATGACTTAGTAAGTTAGCATAGACATAGTGACCCGATAAAAGCTTCAAAGTTCCTTTTTTTTTTACCGACTAAAGCTAAATATTAACAAGACCTAGAAAGATAGCAACCACGCACACTAACACAAATAAAAAATATAGCATTAAATTTTGGTCTGGAGTTATAACTTTCCACTCTAATAAAAATTGGCTGTAACAAAAATGAATCTCGCCAACCTCAAATGGCTTACTGTTATGAATCCTAGTACGGAAACCACGACAGTATCTGCAACAGAGCATCAAAACCACCAGAGAACATACCATGGAACGACCTGGTAGGGCACCACCAGCTCGCGCTCCTCCTCTCCCTCCCTGTCCAATCAATCCCAATCCAACCGGATCAGCAACACACCAAAAACAATCAACACGTATTCAATTCACCACGCCCGAAATGCGTGGGGCTCGTGAGAGAGTTCGACTCACCTGGATAGGGAGCCCGCGACGAAGCGATGCCCCACGCCGACGAGGCGGCCGCGAGGTGGCGGGAGAACATCTCGAGCTGTCAGCAAGGAGGCAAAGGGGATGGTTAGCCTTGAGCGAGCCGGGGATCCGGATGGAAGAGGAGGAGGAGGAGGAGGGGAGGGGCGAACTCACCGTCGAGGTGGAGGTTGCCGCGGCGGCGAGCCTGGAGGCGGCGGCGCGCGCCATGGCGGCAGAGGAGGCGGCGGTGAAACCCTACTTGGTGGGGAGGGGGAGAAGGGAGGGCGGTTGGTTGGGTCCCACGGCAAAGTGGGAGGACGAGGGTTTTAGGTCTTTCGCACGTGTCGGAAAATTGCACCGATTTTTATCAACTTATAATAATAGTATTGATTACTTAATTATATTAACACACATTTCTTTCTTTCTGCTGTTTTTATATGGTGTATATATATGTAAACTTTATGGATTTTGATCGGTGGAAGTAAAATTATGAATGTATTTAGGGCATCCACAATATGGTGTAAAAGTAGTTCATAAGCAATAGAATATTCCATTCAGCCACCTATTACCATTGTGCAACTAGTCCATATAGAAAAAATAACAAAAGGTATCTATATGCATATGGACTACCCATATGGAATAAATTATATTATCTATCTCTACTCCTCTCTCTTCTCCTAATGATACCTCGTTTCCATATACATTGTGGAGATTGTCATAGATAAAAACTATTTATGTGGGTTTCATCTATATGGATCACTTTGCCATATATATTGGTGATGCCCTTAGTTCTTGTTATGCTAAAAAAAAGTTATAGTTGAAAGTGCTTTCATACAATATTAGTCATTTGGAATAAGTCTATTTTACCTCCCTCATCTCTTGTTCTAGGTTGAAATTGCATCCCTCAGCCATAAAAACCGGTATAACGCATCCCCTATCTTTCAAAACCGATATAAATAGAATCCTTCGGTGGTTTGAAAAGTGGTTTTTGCAGATAGGACCCACATATCAGTGCGATATGGGAAACCGTATACAATGGGCCCAGCATGTCAGTGACACATGGGAAAAAAATGTACAGCCAGTTACCTTTCACGAGTAGCTGCTCGACAACAGCAATCCAACGTTCGCAGCTGAGTTCATGTGCCTCTCTGCCCTACGTGCGTGCCATTCACGTAGATGTGTCGATGGTCGTCCCGCGAGCTGACTTGCGTGAGGAGGCAACGCTCGGTGGTGACTAGGCCTCGACGTAAAAGGTGAGGGAGGAAGATAGGGAGTTTGCGGACACGGCGGCGGCACCGCGGATCTGTTCTCGCGAGAAGGTGGTGGAGGACACAGCGAGCTCCTCCCCGCGCACGGGCAGCCGGCAACACCTCCCCCGCGGCCCGCTAGCGGCACTATCGGCAATCTCCTTCCTGTGCGCACATTGTGGCTGACCGGCGAGCTCCTCCCTGCATGCAGCTGTGAGGTGAGAGAGGGGAAAGGTGAGGAAGAAGATATGATGGAGTAGGTCACTGACAGATGGGGTCTACAAGATAACTCAGGCATTCAACGAGGTCAAAGCTGCCACATCAGAAAACAACCTCCCGAACCGCCAAAAGAGGCGATATACACCGGTTTTTAAAGACGAGGGATACATTATACCCGGTTTTACGGTCAAGGGATGCGATTCAACAAGAAACAAGAGTTGAAGGACGCAAAATAGTTTATTCTCTCAAGTTAACATGATTATACTAGGCCCGAAACAGTATTTTAGTGAACTGGGCCGGCCCAGGCTAGCCCAAAGCTCTACACGTCCTAACTCCAAGCCATCCAGTCCGTTCACTCCCTTCGCACACGAATCTCAAAGCGGACAGCCACACACCCCTCACAGGCGAGCTCGGTCGGAGCGGCGGCGGCGGCGGCGGCGAACCGACCCTACCTTGCCGGCGGCGAGCGGCGGCGGCGGATGGGCATGGAGGCGAGGAGGAAGATGAGGTTCGCGATGGTGTGCTCGTCGAACATGAACCGGAGCATGGAGGCGCACTCGCTGCTCGGCCGCGCGGGGCTCGACGTCGCCTCCTACGGCACCGGCACCCACGTCAAGCTCCCCGGCCCTTCCCTCCACGAGCCCAACGTCTACGACTTCGGCACCCCCTACAACGTCATCTACGACGACCTCCGCCGCAAGGACCCCGACCTGTCCGTCCTACTGCTCTTTTCCCTTCTTGATTCTGTGTTCTTTCCGGGGGCTCTTGGTGGTGGCACTGGAGAAGGCAGGATCTCCTTTTTAGAGTCGATTTCGAATTTATGAGTTATTTGTGGTGATTTGGTTGGTGTTGGCGGAAATCTGGGATGGTCATGATGGGAACAGATAGCTGTTGTCTTGCAATTTGGGGGTTTTGTTCTAAATGTATTGCTCCTTAGGGCTTAGATAACTCTTCACAATATTTGATTTTGCGATATGCGATCCTTGTTGATTTGCGGAAATGGCAGAAAAGTTTCTTATTAATGCATTATTATGTGGTGTGCCATTCAGGTACAAGAGGAACGGCCTGCTGCCAATGCTGAAGAGGAACACCTCAGTCAAGCTGGCGCCGCAGAGGTGGCAGGACAATGCCGGCGATGGGCTGTTTGATGTGATATTCAGCTTTGAGGAGAGGGTCTTCGACTTAATCGTCGATGGTAATCAACTGATAACAATTAACAATAGGGGCAAGTTTTTTCGGTCTATCAAATGCATCACAGTAACAGTTGTAGTATCCATATACTAGTATTTACGTGGATATGTAATCATTCACTAAGATGGGCTAGTATGTTTTTTTTCTCTTTTTGCTGCAGATATGCATAACCGTGAGCAAAGGATGCTAAAGAACGCGCTGATAATCAATATGGATGTGAAAGATAACCATGAAGAAGCTGGTGTTGGTGCAAAGCTTGCTTTAGATTTGTGTCAGAAGGTATAAGTACCATAACATATATATAGCTCATAAAGCTACTCCTTCGATTATGTTGTTTACCTATTGATCTAGTTAATCTTGTTGTTTGCTACTGATATTAATGAAGTGATTTGTGTTCGGCAGCCCAGCCTCTTGGATCAACACATGCTAGATGGGTTGGGCTGGGTCTTTGTATGTGTCAAATACAAAATTAGAGAGCAGTGTTAGATAAAAACAAACTAATGTCAATCAGTATGTCTCCTTTGTCAAATTTCCAGAGAAAAAATAGCATCTTGTACTGCCCTACATTTATAACACAATGGTGCATCATTAATTAATTTGGGAACCTGCCAAGATCACTAATTTTCTGGATGCACTATGCTATAGCATAGCCTTATGTAGTGTACCTCATCCGCAGTCTCATCCGCAGTCTCTAGACTGGGAGCACATGCAAATCATTACCCCAATATCGAGGGTTGGTGAATTATCTCTAGAATAGGGAACACATGCAAATTAATACCACATTCAGGGTTGTGAATGTCTCTAGTTGGTTATTATCTTAAGGCTTAAGAAGCTCACTGCAGGCCTACTACTGCCTCACATCTCATATCATGCAAGACAATATGGCACAAATTTCTCACATGTACTATGTACCTGTGTCTTACTAATTTTCACAACGATGAGCTACTACACATGCATGGCTTCAGTTGAGAAAGATATATATCGGGGAGGCTCAAATTCTACTTGATGTGAAGATGAAGATGAAGCCCAAATCAAAACGTTTAGATGCTAGGATCAAGTTTTTACCAGAAATGTTGTTCGTTCTGAGTTGTGGCTTACAAGGATTGCTTTGAAATTTACTACTTTTCAGCCAATTTACATTGCAAACACAAAGTTCATAACCTACAAAGGTTCAGTTAGTTGAGTCCAACAAGTCTATTTACTTGGTTTGTGCCGAATCTAGTAACTAGGATTGAAATTGTTGGCACTAAAGGGTGTCTTTGTATACTCAAAGGGCTTAATGTAAGTGGTTCACTGCCACGTCAAGAATATTCTGCCAATAGATTGTATTCCTTGTTTCCACATCGGCGACAAATTTGGCCTTCAATAACATCCTTGTGCTCCCTTCAAATCATAGGCCATGTGGACAAGCCCAATTGAATTCCCTTATTATTCTCAGTGATTGTGTTTGCTGGGTTCTATACTTCTGTGATTGCTATTTTTGTGGATTGACATGCTCAAATTTGTGTTTGTAGAATATTAAATGCTTGCATATTACTTTTTCAGTCAAATATCTACATTCTGATCTTTTGACTTTCTGTTGGGAAGTGACAAATGACCGCCGCTCAGTTGGATAGCGATGTTTCTCAAATGCTACCCACCCATGTTTGACTCCCGACTAGGTGTTCCCTGTTGATGGTTGCTTCTCCCTATTAAAAAAGATAGCTAGTTCCTCCAAGCTGTTCCTTTTATTTTCTATAGCCGAGTGCTGCTCGGGTGGCTAGCTGCGACCTATTTTCTTGCCCACTCGGGTTCGATCCTTGACCCTAATGTGTTTCGCGTTGCTTCCTCCCATAAAAAGAGAACTGCTACTTCTGTTTTTTTTCCTACTCTGTTCGAAAGTTGACAAAGTCGCTGGTAAGTGTGTTCTAGGAATAAAGACAGGGTAACCTTGTTTACTCATATATTTAGATGGTCAATCACTTATATAGTATAATGAACTTTGAACCTCCAAGTTGCTCTAAATTAACATAGAAAAAGTCCCCATGAATATTCTCATTGTGGTGAAAACCATGTATGGACTATGGAGCAAATCTAACACTCACCATAAAGAACTTTCCATTTCATAAAAGATGATGAAGTGTATTTTGATGTTTCTTTGTGTGTGGTATACTTTCCTAAAACAAGTTTAGTTATATGATTCTTCTTTGCTTTCTTGGACCTGTATGCTATCCACATCTGTTTCTTGAATGCGTTACATAACATCTGCATATTACTAATTAACCATTGTCTCAATAGCTATCTCATATCTGATGGTATGATTATGTTGTAAATGAATTTTGACATCAATCTGCACACTAGCAATCCATTGTGTGAAAGTAGAATTTGATCTATATATTACTATTGTTTTCTCATTATGCTTCTCTTCAGTAGTTCCTACTACAATATTTTTTTTACCTTAGTTTGTGCGGGCTAGACTGGTAAAAGGATTCACTTCTGTAAAGTGGGACTATTGAAATATTTGAAATGAGATAATGTACTTGGTGAACCACGAGAAGTTAATTCATATATTGCTTCCTTTTTCAGCTTGAAGGGGCAGATGAAGATTGGGAGGAAATTATTGATGACCTGATTATTACATTTGAGAAGCAGCACAAGCGGAAGCTCACATACAACATGGCATTTTACTAACTTCTGTAGTTCATCGTGCGGATTATACAGAGGCAGCAGAATCATTCTTAAATTAACTCGATCGTGTGGATGGCTGGTAGCTTGGCATGCAGGGAAATGTACAAAAACTGAGGTACCAACTGGATCCAAGTGTGGTTCCTGTTCCATGCCAACAAATGGGGGAAGATGTGTGAAACTTGATTAAAGAAAATATGTTCTGCGTTGAGTCGCTCGATTGTTGTTAGAGGATAATTGGATATTCAGATGTTGATCTTGAAGCTACCCATCATCTCAAAACCATGCAGCACCGAATGTTACTCATTTGCTTTAGTGGCTGCCTAAAATTCATGGTGAGCCTGATGAATGGTACAGTACATGTTAATGAATTGGCCTATCAGTACAGTACAGTAAGATTCAGAAGGTGAACGAGGCAGACAGTGACCAAAACCATGAATTTCAGTGGTGATGGCTTTCAAAATATAGCTAGAAATGCATTATATTTTTCAACCGTCTTCATCGAAACATTTTCTCGTATGTTGACATGAGGTCAATGTCATCCCTGGGTTAGTAACATTTTGTTTGGTTCTTCGTTTTTGACCGGTCAGGGGTGCTATTCGCAAGGCGATGAATCATCTGCCGGTGCCAGAATCCTGTGGGATGACGAGAGGTCTGACTTTCCCAGTGCTGTTTCGTTCCACGGTCAGGTGGCTGTCACTCACTTTCAAGTTGGTTTTTTTTTTTGCTATAAATTTTGCCGTTTTCTGCCGTACCAGTTCGGCCGTCATAGTACGGGCTCACTACCTGTCTAGCTCAGTGTTCTGAATATTACTGTGAATATTGACCTCCTTAATTCTTTTTTGTTCTTTTTCTTCTCTCTCTCTTCTTTTGCTGAAAGGAAAGCCTTCTAGAGGTCTACTTCCCCGTAAAAAAAAATTAGGATGGGATGTGACACATTATACTACTACGAATCTGGACTTATCTTTGTCCAGATTTGTTGTATTATAATATATCACGTGTGAGATAGGGGGAGTAAGTGATAACTCAGTTGAATGCAGAATTGTTAGTGGAGATTAATTGGGTCCAGGAGATGGAACTTAGCTCCATCTTGTCATGTACTCCATCAAATGTATATTGTTGGTCTATTACTTTGTTTAATGCTTCCTCGGGGCATGGAGTAATTATAGGCCCTGTTTAGGCCTTGTTTAGTCCCTATTTTTTTTAAAAAAACGCTACATTAAAATTTTGGATACATGCATGTAGCATTAAATATAGATAAAATAAAAAACTAATTGCACAGTTAGGGGGAAAATCGTGAGACGAATCTTTTGAGCCTAATTAGTCCATGATTAGCCATAAGTACTACAGTAACCCACATGTGCTAATGATGGATTAATTAGGTTTAATAAATTCGTCTCGCGGTTTCCAGGCGAGTTATGAAATTAGGTTTTCCATTCGTGTTCAAAAACCCCTTCCGACATCCGGTCAAACGTCTAATGTGACACATAAAATTTTTTTTCATGAACTAAACAAGGCCTTAGTTCCAAGGGTGAAAAGTTTTGGTGTGTCACATCGGATATACGGATACATATTTGAAGTATTAAATATAGACTAATAACAAAACAAATTACATATTCTACATGTAAACTACGAGACGAATTTATTAAGCCTAATTAACCCATCATTAGCAAATGTTTACTGTAGCACCACATTGTCAAATTGTGGAGCAAATAGGCTTAAAATATTCGTCTCGCAATTTACACGCAATCTGTGTAATTAGTTATATATATATATATATTTAATACTCCATGCATGTATCCAAACATTTGATGTGACAGGCTGACAAGTTTTTGCGTGGGACTACTAAACAGGGCCATAATCTCTCTTTTGAAATGTTGGATTGTAGAAGTTTCTTATTTGAATTGAAGTAATTCATGTGGAAATCCTGCACAATTCTTTGTAAAAAGAAGTTCTAAGATATGGAATATATCATCCCATCATATTTTGTCGTCGTGATATTACCATATTAACCCTGACAATTTCTTTCATGTCGAGACATTTCGCATCGATCCATTACATAAACGGGCGAGCAAACCGGACAGTGACATTCCAACCATAATTGGCCGCTCTTTGACCAGAAAAAACTGTACCATTTAATTTGCACATATTTGGTTCGAATTAAAAAAAATGTGGTCCAAGAGTGGAAGAACACCACTATAACGTATCACTCATATATGTCCAACACAACACTAAACGTGTATAGATATCTCCTTCACTCCTAAAAGAGGACGAATGAAAAGAAAAGGTTTCTTTCTTTCTCACCTTCTCCATGATGCCTAAAGCATATCTGCCACTATGAAATCCACACCCATTAAATATGTGTTTAGTTCACGCCAAAATTAAAAGTTTAATTAAAATTGGAACGATGTGATAGAAAGATGTGATGGAAAAATTGAAAGTTTATGTGTAGGGAAATTTTGATGTGATGGAAAAGTTGGAAGTTTAAAGAAAAAGTTTAAAACTAAACTCGGCCTAATTCAAGAACTGCTGACCAAGCCACTCTTGTCCCACCATATTCCTTTGACCAGCAAACTGTGTACGATATATCATAGTTATCAATTTTCACTACATTTTGCGTTTTGGTGGGCCATTTCCTCAATTTTATCGTATTAGTCTACATGTAAAATTCCAGCATCATAGCAGTGCTTCTGAAAAACAACTTAAGCTATACTGTAAAATTCATCCAACGTATCGTTTTATCATGAGGATTTGCAGGAGTTTGGGATGTTTCTCGAGATCGCCTCAGTGCAGTTTTGTGTGCTAGGGTTGGTCGGGAAAAAAATCTTTACCAAGACAATTCTCTAACATGAAAGTTTCTAACTAAACGAGCGGTGTAACGGTTGCTCCTGCATAACAAAAGAGCAAAATTGAAATGAGGCATTTTTCCTTTTTGTTGTTGTTTCTTATGTAGTATATCTCAGATATGAGACTTGGAATCTAAGTACTATCGTAACATTTGTGTATATCCATACTTGGATATATAGAGATCAGATTTCTTTACATTATTTTTTAAAAAAGAAACTTCAGGAGAGACTAGATTTAGCATAGAGTTTACCAGGAAACTACAACATTTATCTGTCACTATTTCTTAACAGATTAATCTCTAGACAAAGTATGTTGTAAGAAAGACTTAAGAACGGAGGATTTTATAATTATTCAAGTTCATAGAACCTAGACTCAGATACTGCTAATAACGTGTAATATTATTGGTACTTTGTCTGACCAAAAACTTGCTGACTTTACACATGTACTGCTCCAATGGTAGTAGCTTGATTCAGGAGCAGATCAACTTTAATCTGAGAACAAGCAAACCGAAGGTTTGTCCTGTTTATGTCGGCAACACTTTGAAGCCTTCAACCCTTCCACACTTAGGCAATTTTATCAATACTTTATAGGAGCATGCATATATAGTTAATTTAATTGAGACAATCTTGTGTTCTTGGTGAACATTTTATATATTTTCTATGAACAAATGGTCTGTTATTTTGGAGACATTCCTAATTGTTGTTTCGAACTTGTCTACTCTTTCCAAATTAAATTTAGGTACTTTAGTTCATGTTGCTAGCCGCAATGAAATAATTATAATGTTCCTTTTTTTGCATTCACTATTTTTGTATAATCCCAACTATAATTGCACGTGTGCTATTGTGTTGCATCGACATTAGCATGTGAAGAGAACAAAAATGTAGGGTAGTCATCTTGGGACACGTGTATACATGCAAGGCTGGCCAACAAGAACAATGAGATAAATTATATTCTTGATTAGCATTTTATTAAAGTGAAAATGAAGCTATGACGGTGATTAGGTGAGTATCACATGTTTGATTTGACAAACTCCCATACTGAGGGGTACATAGAAACCTACCGCTTCGAATATATATATAATGGACTCTTCTTGTGACACGTATGTTAATTAAGCTGATCCTATCAAAAAAAGAAAAGTTAATTAAGGTGATCAAAGTACTACTACTATTGTTGGAAAGGTGATATATGCTCTGTCTAATTGACAACTTGACAACCGAAGCAGTGATGATGTCCCAGCTAGTTAGTAGATGACAAGGCTACATGATGGAGTATCATTTAGCTTTCTGAATATATACATATACTTGGGATTTGATAAATTTAACTATAAAGCATAAAAGTGGCATCGTCACCTGTACAAGGTGATTACGAAAATACGTGAAATTAAATGAGGGGTGGTTGTGATCGGTTAAGATGAGAAAATAGGTAGAAAAATTATTTGAATATACATGATTGTGATTGTTTGAGATGAAGCGGTAGGTTCCAAGATAAATTTTAAACGCTAGATGTTGCTATGTTTTATTTTGGGAAGGAGGGAGTAGTACAATTACAAAATAGAATTAATAATCAAATATTTCTATAGTAATACTCAAACTCTAAATACGTGTAAGTATTTTTTTTCCCTGAATAATTGAAAGCCATTTGCTAATTTAAGAATAAAAATGGTGACAACCTTGTTATGTGTTTCCACATTGCTTAAAACTACTCTAAATATGATCAAAGTTGAGAAGTGGATGTTTAATAATTTAGTGTTAAATATTATCCAGTTTAAAAGTTCAAGGGTGTTTTTTAAGACTCATCAAAATTCAGGGCGTACAATAGACTGGCTCTTCTCAAAGAAATAGAGTGTTTAATTCATGTGGCGTCGTGTTTTGCAAGGAGTTGACAGACTCTATAATGTCAAATATCACTAGCTCTTGCTGGATATTCCAAACTTCAAATTACCGCCAAGAGAGCATGTGATTTTTATTTTCAGGAAATTATAATAAGTAGGGCGTTTCACGATCACTGAAAAGTATAATGCATATATCAATTTCATATGCCGTTCCACGTGTTGCTTAACCAGCTATTAAACCGTAGGATAAGTACCCCCATTAAAAACATCAATTAGATTTTTTTTATTTTAGAATTGGCTGTTTCTTTTTTATATATTTTGTTCTTTCCAAATCTCCCCTTCCATCTTTTACAGGTTCTTACCCAACAAAAATGTCCATTGTTTCTTCTAGTGTTCTAGGAACCAGAGTGTTGCTTTATTCTAAACAGCCTGATCTTTTTCTAAGAAAGCTCCTCATTACTACTTCCTCCGTTTCACAGTGTAAGTCATTCTAGTATTTCTCATATTCATATAGTTGTTAGATTCATTAACAGCTATATGAATGTGGAAAATGCTAAATGACTTACATTGTGAAACAGAGGGAGTATTTAGTTTGTAATTTTTTATTGTCTTCTTTTTTTGACATTACAGTATGCAAGATACTCCCTCCGTTTTGAAATGTTTGACACCGTTGACTTTTTAGCACATGTTTGACTGTTCGTCTTATTCAAAAACTTCTGTGAGATATATAAAATTATATGCCTACATAAAAATATATTTAACAATGAATCAAATGATAGAAAAAAATTAATAATTACTTAAATTTTTTGAATAAGACGAACGGTCAAACATATGATAAAAAGTCAACGGCGTCAAACATTTCGAAACAGAGGGAGTAGTATTTTTGTTTGAAGAAGGAGGTTATTGTAGACTAGGATGTCGCATGTCAAAAAATAGTGTATTCATACTTTGACTAAAGCAACTGGATGACAGTTACCCATCCAGTCCTCCATTAGTACGTAGTTACATTGAACATCACATTAGTCAACCGTTGAAAATTCTTTAGTTTTGAGTTTCAACGCGCATTCCATTAATTAGAATTGGACTTTGCAAGATCTTAGCTAATTTTATATATAATAAGAGCAGTCGTCAACAGATAGTGAGCTCTATGCATATATAAGCTATTTCTTGTGTGAGTTTTTTTCTTTGGGGTCATATGTGAGTTATGACAAATGATGCGTATTGTTTGTGAATTTGGTGAGACCACTACCCTAAAAAAGGCACACCGGAGGTCTATGGCCCTCTGATTTCCCTGTCCTACTGTGTTATTATAAGTGTGTAAATTGTAAAGTGTGGGTGTGGTATGTGTGTCCTTTTAGTATATTAAAGTAAAATTTATTTAAGGAGAAAAATACCATAAAACTCTTAATTTTCTGATAGAGAATTAAATGTATATAGCACATTTACATCGTTGTCGGCAACAGTGGCGGACACAGTTTTAAAATATAGATGGGGCGGAGAATAAAGATGTTTACTCGATAAGTAATCGAACACAACACATATCATATTTATATATCAATCGTATACTTGTCTCATTATTGTTTGTGGCGTGTATGCGTTGTGAAGAGACAGACTAATATATTGGACGTTCACACCTTGTTATACCTAATTTTGATGGCCTATAACTATTGTAAGGGGTAGGAAGGGTCTTGGGGGTGTGAGGCGACACGGGTCATAGCTGGGACGGTCCACGCACCCTACCTAATAGGTAGATCCGCCCCTGGTCGGCAAAGTCTACAATAGGAAAATATAGCAATGTCGTCTTTAAGGTTTTTGTCCAACCAAAGACATACTACCACATAACCAGAGAGGGAAACATGATGAGTAGTGACACGTGCATGAAAGAACCTAAAGCACACACATGAAAAGGGTAGAAAAGGTTGACCCTTTTTTGGACAAGATGAATTTGTATTATAGAATTTTTCACATAATAAAACATCTCAATTTATATGGCTTTAGTTTCCCCTTTTATAATGTTAGCTAGAGTAGATGATGTTAAACCTCCATAGTTACATGTTAAACCTCAATGCAGTTGATATAAACAATTTTGACTTCTCTGTAGTCGATATTGCTACTTGCTAGTACCGTCAGCATGGTAGAAATGAAGACTTATTACACGTATAGCATATTTCCGTCAACGTAGTACTCCCTCTGTACTCGTAAAGTCGTTTTGGACAGCGACACAGTCTCCAAAACACAACTTTGATTACTTGTTTCTATAAAAATATTTATTGAAAAGTGATATATGTATATTTTTATGAAAATATTTTTCAAGACAAATCTATTCATATAATTTCTAAATTTTCAAACCCAACAACTCGAGAGTTATTCATGATTTATATTCCCAAGGTTTGACTAAAACATTGTCCTAAACGACTTCCTTTACGAGTACGGAGGGAGTATTTGCTAAAGAAATTATAAGTCTGTTGTATTTAAAGTCAACTCAGGCATAAGAAAGAAGATATGCAAATATGACATTTCTTTTCTAGATTTATGTAATTTTGACATTACGTTGTCAATGTTCCATAGCATCTTTAGGTCAACTGGTATGACTACAAGAGGAATAAGAATATCATTAGGCAACTAATCCCCCCTCTTAAAATAAGTATTTTTACATCTAAAACTTATTTCAAAATGAATTCATTCACTACTAGAGAAACGATCTTTGCTGGGTCGACCCAAAATCACAATAGTCCCGGTTCCAAAAAGAACCGTCCCTGTTTAAAAACCCACAGCTATTTTATAATTTTTAATCCCGGTTGGTAACACCAACCGGGACTAAAAATCATCTTTAGTCCCGATTCATTCCCTGTCAGTAGGATGTCAGGGGGCCGAGGATCTTTAATCCCGGTTGGTGTCACCAACCGGGACTAAAGATCATCTTTATAGTCCCGGTTGGTATTACTAACCGGGACTAAAGATCATATTGATTTTTAGTCCCGGTTAGTAATACCAACCGAGACTAAAATTTAATACGTAGTATATAATCCCTCTTCCTTATCCTCTCCTCCACAATCGCAACAACATCTCACACGTACAGATCCCTTCCCCTTCCTCACACTTATCCTCTTCCTCACCTTCCTCAAACTAATCCTCTCCTCATCCCCCTCCTCCCCTTCCTCCTCCCCCTCCTCCCTTCCCATCAGGCCGGCGGCCGGCGGGGTCGCAGCGGCAGGCGGCGCCGGCGGCCGGCGGGGCCGTGCCCAGCGGCGGCCATGGCGGGTGGCGGCTGAAGGTGCCGCGCGCGGCGGCGGCCGGCGGGGCCGCGCCCGGTGGCGGCCATGGCGGGCGGCGGCGGGCAGGCGGCCGGAGGTGCCGCGCGCGGCAGGGGCCGGCGGGGGCGCGCGTGGCGGCGGCCGGCGGGGACGCTTCTGGCGGCGGCCGTGCCCTCTCGTCTGCCAGCTGACTTCTTCCTTTTCTTTTTTTTTGATAATTTGTGATTGATTGAGATGTATAATTTTGTGATGGATCTGAGATGAATCTGTGATGTATTTGATTTCGGTGTATTTTTTAGGATTTGTGATGTATTTGATTTGCTTGTATTTTTTTAGAATTTGTGATGTATTTGATTTGTGTGTATAAGGAACTTAAGATTTGGGATGTTACTTTGAATTGAGGATTTGAGGATATACATGGCACTAGATTCGGGAGAAAATATAGGGATTAACTCTAAGAAACAATAAAAAAAAGGATCATCTGCACTGCACTGCCGCTACCCTCTCTTTAGTCCCGGTTGGTGTTATCAACCGGGACTAAAGATCTATTTTTAGTCTCGGGTATTTGAAATCTTTAGTCCCGGATTCGTACTCCCGGTTGGAAAACCGGGATTATAGAGGGGTTACCAACCGAGAGTAAAAAGTCTTTCTCCACCAGTGATTTCTATCTTTTTACCTACTGTTGATCAGCAAATAGATGAGTTTGGTTCCTTCAATATCTTTTATCGACCTACCAGCGATACTACTTTCGTACTATTGAAGGTATTTCGATCTTTTTTTTCTCTATATTAATTTGAAACGCAGTTGCTAGAAGTGAAATTATTTTGGAACAGAAAATAGTACTTTTTTAAAAAAGCTACCACTGCCCTTAGCCTCACAGTAATTTAGCAATAATGTCTTCCATGCTATATCTACATTCAATTCAAGAACACATTCGAAGTGCTAAAATTTTATTCAACAACTTTAGTTGCCAGTTGGTACGAAATTCGTCCTACAATGCGTCCAAATTAAGGAGGAAGGTTTCTGACTGACAAACGTGCAAAAGTTTCAATAAATTAAAACAGCCAAGTCTTATTTTAAACCAGTATTTTTTTTATCTTATTTATTTAGAAAAGAAGCATTCTTCTATTACAAGAAAGACGTACGGACGCACATTGTTCTCACATCACCCATTATTTTTAAAAAGGGGTACACAGTACTTAGATCGATTAAACCAGCAATCTTTCTGATAATTAAGCAGTAATTAACAACGCACATATGTTCATTGCCTAATTATTCATCGTTCATGCTCATCCAAACAAGAAGGCAAAGCCTACCCAAATTCATCCGTCAATCACTACCGGCCAGCCGACTACTGAAACTGAAAGGCAACGGGATTTTTTGTAAAAAAAAAAAAGAAAGAAAGAAACTGAAAGGCAATAGACAAACTGAGATTCCAACGTGGTCAAAATGGAATGCGAAACCTAACCTAGCTAATACTCTACAATATCTGGTCAAACCCAATTGCGCTCCAAATTCCTAATTCGCTTTCTTTGCTAGAAACTGCAAGCCTGCCTGCCAGAAAACGAGATTGATTAATTTGAAAAATACATGACTAACTGAACCGTAAATTATAATAGTACTGTAGTGAATTAAAGATATCTATGGGTGTCATCATATTTTTCTTGGGACCAACATAGCTCTATTATTTGATTAGATTAGATCAGATTATAACTCCATATTGTACAGGGTAGCTAGGAACAGAATTTGCAGAGGTAGGTTGTATAGATGATAGTACCACATTGCAGCCCATATGCATTGTATCTGTATGCATGAATCCAAGATAGATAGATAAACTTAGCAGGTTAAATTACTGTGTCTATGGCGGCACAAGTGGTTAATTATCACTTGGTACTTATCCTTACTCTTCTTGATTCTACTACCAATCAGGGTTGGAAATTTCGGTATATCACTGACTTCCGATCAAATCGGTTAAACCGAAAAAGTAAACCTGCTGCCAATTACTCTACACATGCATAGAAACAAATCTTCTGACACACCTTTTATTCTGACTTTCAATCTATGATAATCTTGACATGTGGACTTGTTTGATAAATGATTTACATATATCAGTGACCCGTGTTTGAGGAAAGTAAGTCGTAGGATCTTAATCCTACATACATGCACTTAACCTGTATTTAATTATCCTAGATAGCTTAATTAGTTACATGCATATGCTTTAGGTTATTAGCGATTTCCTTCGTTTCAGGTCACGAGACTTTTTAACTTTAGTTAAAGTCAAACTGCTTTAAGTTTGTAGATAAAATGGTAACATTTTTAATCCAAGATAAATTTATTATGAAAATATATTCAATTATTGTCTTGATAAAACTAATTTAGTATTATAAATATTATTATATTTGTCTATAAACTTAATCAAACTTAAAATAGTTTGACTTATATGCGGCTAGCTTGCATGTCTTACCATCTTGTTAGGTTGTACATGCCACCTAGCTCACATCCATGCATGGAAGCTATATATATCACTCGCCATTGCTGCCCCTGCAATCAACGGAAGCTTAGCTGAGTTGGGTTTGGTCTCGCCGCTGGCCGGAGTAGAGCGGTCCATGTGCTGTACCGGCGACGAGGTGGCGGGACCCGGAGAGCAGCGGCGGCGGCCGCTCGACGCCGACGCCGGCGGCGACAAGGGCGCGGTGGCGACGACGTCGTCGTCGTTGTTGGCGGCGCCGATGCTGTCGCGGCGGAGGCAGGCGGAGGAGATGGCGGCGATGGTGTCGGCGCTGGCGAGTGTCGTGGCCGGCGGCGGCGGCACGTCGTTGCCGGCGAAGAGGCCAGCCGAGAGAGAGCCCGAGGAGGGCGCCGCCGTGGAGGGGGTGTGGTGGTCGTACTGCAGTGAGCTCGCCGCCGCCGCCGCCGCGCCGTCGCCGGCGGCTCCATTTCCGGCCGGTACGTACGTGTACGTAAGCAGAGCAGTATAGTAAAAGTTGAATGCAACATGATTAATTAAAGTCTACCTCGGACTTTGTTAATTAACCAAACTAATATAATCATGATTACATTGATCACAAAGTGACTTGCTTGTTCTCTCTATCACCTTTTCTAATTAACCATTAGGTTGATGATTAACATTAACTAAAATGCATGCATCTCTCTTTTCCTTTGGTGAAAAAAAAGGAGGATTGATTTTGAACCTTATTGATATGAAAAATTACAATTGAGAAAATGATGAACAAAACAGTAAAACTACGTATACTTTGCAATTTTATATGACTAATAATAAGAGAAATTTTAATGACTGATTAAGCACAATTAAAATGAATGATAAAGCTTTTTTTTTATTATTTTCTCTTTGTTTTATTCAAAAGTAATCACAAAGATGTTAGCCTGGTAGGAGTATATTGTTATAGTTTAGTGGTGTTTACACTAACACACACGACGTGCACGCATCTTGCAGCATATGCATAAGCAAAGCATATGGGTTGGTCAATGTGCACGTGTGGATCCACGCGTCACACGAGCAGAGGCTGCTCCAACCACCGCCACATCGCAACTAATATAATCATTGTTATGGACAAAATTAAGAGATCCCATGGGCTTAATTTATTCATTAGGGAAAAAGATTAAGAGAAACAATGGGATGGGTAGCTCACTAACAACCAAACACGTGTTCCTTAATCGCCACGTTTCGTCATTCTTAGCATCAAACACACGAAATGAACTTTGTTTTAAAAACAAACACACGAAATGAACTTGTGACTAGTTAAAACCAGTAGTCCGCATTGACATTAAAATATAGGAACATTCTGATCATCCAAGAGAAGTTTGCATGTCACCTTTTGTATTAGTTTAACACAAAAACAGAGCAAGTGAGAAGAAAATCAGAGTATCTCAAAGAGAGAGAAGCAAAACAGAGTAACCAAATTAACCAGATCAAATTACTTTTAAAAATCACAGCTCAAATCACTGTGTTACAAACTTTTTTTACTACATAGTTTCTGGATATTATTAGTATGGATACATGAAAATAATTGAATTTTATTACTATAGATAATTAAGCGCTAATCAAAACAGGTTCTTGTCCTAATCTCCCCTGTTTTTTTTTTCTTTTTTTTACGCGTTCGCAGGCTACGTGCCATCGCCGGGGCAACACTCGCCTGCGTCGGCGGCGGCCGGCGACGAGGAGGAGCTCCCGTCGCCGTCCTCGGCCGACTCCAGCGGCGGCACGGCGAGGAAGCGGTACAGAGGGGTGCGGCAGCGGCCGTGGGGGAAGTGGGCGGCGGAGATCCGGGACCCGCACAAGGCGGCGCGCGTGTGGCTCGGCACCTTCGACACCGCCGAGGACGCCGCCCGCGCCTACGACGGCGCCGCCCTCCGCTTCCGCGGCAGCCGCGCCAAGCTCAACTTCCCCGAGCACGCCACCCTCCCACCGCCGCCGACGACGACGACGGCCGCCGCTCACCGGTGCCCGCCACCGCCGCGGACGGACGCGCTGCTGGAGTCGCAGGAGCTCTCTCCCGGCGCCGGCGGCGGTGACCCGTACTCTCAGTACGCGAGGTTCTTGCAGGGCTCCGGCGGCGACGGTGGCGAGGCGGCGGCGCGGCCCGGCGGTGGCGCCTCGCAAAGAACGCCACCCGCCACTACACTGCTCTACAGCTTCGAGGGAGACGCTGCTTCCGCCGCCTGCCTCTGGCAGCCGGAGAGCGGCGGCGGCGGGATGGGGTGGCCGGCGACTTCGCCGGCGGCGTGGTTGGAGTACGGTTTCTACCCGCCGCCGGAGCGGCGCGACACGGACACGTAGGGTTAATCACGATGTGATCCTGAGCGGAATAGGCGGTGACGCTGACAGGTGGGGCCTACTTTTGCCAGGTGCGGTCAACGGTCAACCTGAAGTTGACGTGGCATGCCACGTAATGCGGCGGTCAACGGGTTCAGACGGAAGTGGGTCATGGACGGCACGAGACGCCGTCAGAAATAAATGCTCGAAACTGACACGATGGATTACATTGTTCGTCAAATTCTCAGAGGGCCACATAGTTGCAGGAGGGGGAATTATTATTCAGCATTGTTTTTTTCGTAAAATTCATCGCTCCAAAAACATCACACATCTCAAGCTTGTACGAATGAAACTAGTGCAGTCTGAAGATTTTCTTTTTCTGGTTTTATAGAACAAAAGATTTTTGAAGAAACCCAATCCTATGAAAAAAAATTTCTTATATGAAAGGAATGGGCATCCAAAATTCCTGTAAAATTTCTCTGAATTGGCTCAAAACATGGCTATGACATGGCTTGTGTCTCATGATGAATGTACTCCGTCCTAATTTGCCTTTGATTAATAATTCTCTTTCAAAAATAAATCCTCTTGGGAAAAAAATATCTCTTATTATTCATGTAGTTTTCCGTAAGATTTGGAGTTCTAGGAAACTTGAGTCCTATACCTTCTTTGACTCGTATTATTTGAGAATCATGTATTCATATAAGCTCTAAAATTGGCTATTACCCAAGACTGTACGACTCGTTTGTTGTTATCAGTGTTGTGTAACAAGGAGTCTTCAAAAAAGAAAAGGAAAAAGAAAAGAAACAGCAACGAGGAAATTAGTATCGACATCAAAGAAATAATGAAAAATTACAAAAATCTGTCGACCGCTCCAGTTGACAAAAATTCGTAATATTTTGTTTTTTATGATAGAGCCACTAGTAGCTAGGTACTCTTACTCGCATGTCATTTTGTTCTCTTCCCTTTTCTTCCGTACGAAAACCGAGTGTACTTCGGCAAATTCGTTACGCCTCCCGCCACGACACAAGAGCCAATCGCGATATCGCACCGTGTGCATTCGTCCACGTCAGCACCAGGGCATGCGTACACACCTGCACCACGTTAACGAAAGAAAAAAAAAAGATCAGTCACAATGCCATTGGTTGATAATATCTTATTATAAACTGTATTCTCTTCGTTTCACAATGTAATACTTTCTACCATTTTCCACATACATATAGATGTTAATTAATCTATAAATATATATATATATATATATATATATATATATATATATATATATATATATATATATATATATCTAAATTCATTAACATCTATATGAATGTAGACAATTCTTGAAAGCCTTACATTATAAAACGGATAGAGTAAGATTTAATAGTGATTAAAAAATAATTTAAAAGTATAAATTTTATATATGTGTTCTTACCGACTTAAAAGACAATAAAAGTACTCTTTAATTAACTTCAAAACTAAATTTAAATTTTAAATTTTAACAACGATTTATTCTTTATAGGGGAACAATGAGGCCCTATGCTAATAAGGACCATGACTCCATAAGCTGAAGACCGGTGAAGACAGACATGACACATTTTTACAGGTCAATGCAAATGCAGTTGACGCTATCACTGGCTGATGGATTTGGTTCCTACGCAGTTTCTAGTATGACATTTTAGCCTATTAGCCGCTTACACTTATTAGGGAAGACATTCAAATAGCGCACGATTAGTTAAAAGCAGTTGCATCAACAAGAACACAAATGGCTATTCCTTGCCAATTTCAACATGGAATATGCATGCGACACTGCCCCTTTTGCATAAGTACAGAATTTTTCGAGCACTCCCAAAGGTGTTGTGACTGGAGCACATGAAATTCCAAAGATTAGCTGTCCTTATGCTGAAGATTTCCAAAATTCAGCTCAGTGTCTTTCGAACTTAACTGAAGCGGTATGGAATTTTGATTCCTCAAGTGACTCAAGGCACTGACCAGCATCTTCTCGATGGCAAAAGTCAGTGATTTGTGCATACTAAATAGAATCATCCTAGCAAGTATCGACATTTCTTTTTCTCATAAGGATTTGTTCTCAATAAACATACTTTATATGTCCCCTGAAGGGAACTCTTTTTTCAGGGGGGACCCGAAGAAATGACACCTGACATTATGATTGTGGTACATTGCACAGAAATTTAGAACCTTTCTTCAGTAAACATAAAATATGTTTGCATTTTATTTTCCATATAGAAGCTTGGAGGTTTTTCCACTAACATGGCAAAATTTGAAGAGCATACTCAACATAGCACCACGCGTATCCACACAATAAATACTTTTCAAGAACATGTACATATGTACTGATATTTGAAGAGCTATGGGAAGTGATATTTTGTTTCCTCCAGGTTCAAACTAAGTGGTTTGACATTTTAATGATATCTGCGTCTGCATGTTCTTAGAAATTTCTCAATTTGCAAAAATAGATGTGCACGACTTTTTGTTCAAATAAGATTAGTTAAGATAGATACACATACTCAATCATCACCGTCTTCGTTTTCTTCTTCTTCGCTGCGCTGTTGGTGGTAGCTTCTCAGAAGGGCCACAAGGAAGTGTAGTTCCTGTTTCACTCTCTATGCGTCTCTTCAGCTCCTGTAGAATTCGGATTTGGCCCAATTTCTCTGGAGATAACTTTTCCCAGTAAATCCCTGCATGCAGAAGTTCCCCAAAAATCTGGTCACATAAGGTTTTTTTGCCGGTTTACCAAAATATTAAATAATACAATCATTCATACCTTGTGGTTTCGCGATCGTGGTATTTGTGAATATGACCTGAGTTGGAGTGCAGATAATGTCAACTGGTACATCATGAACTAACAGCTTCTCAACTGGAATGTCATTCACTAATTGTTTGTCATGCACTGCAGTCATAGACACAGTTGGCAATTTACATTAGTTATTAATCAAGGAACAAATGAGCTAAAAGGCAATTAATTTAAATTTGATAAAAAATATATAAAGGTTATCCAAGAAGGGATAACCAGCTGAATCAATATAAAAAAACTCACCAGTTGTTACTATCATGGTTGAATCGCTTATAGATCCCATATAACGCAGCATCCCATATTCCAGCTCTGCAAATCCCTATAGACCATTTTGATGAAATAAAGGAGTGGGAATAAGTAGTTTCAGTAGATAGAGCATGATTCAACATTTCAACATAGTGCCAACATTGGACAGAAGTGAAAAGCCTATCGCTCAATTTTTCTCTCAAAGGAAGAAGGAAAGCAGGTCAAACCTCATTATTTCCTCTATTAATTTCTTCCATACAAATGTACAGGAGAGAAACAAATTAAACTCTGCGTCAAGTCTTCAACTGCAGAAATGCAATTACAAGCAGAGAATAGTTACCTCGCCCTTTCCTAGTCGTGCTCCTGTGCTTGGATCAACTGCAACCGATCCAATCACAATCAAATCCACTTTAATTTTTTCATCTAGACCTATAGGTCTCCCGTATTTGGCTGCACCAACAGAAGTACATGCTTCTGGAATACATCCAATGGGTATCATGTGAGATTCCAGAACTGAGAAAAATCCTGTCCTTAGCCGAGGTTGCGGAGTCAGCAACTTTTTATCTCCTGTGAGGATCCAAGTTTAACCTGATTAGTGCATATGGCTATCATAGATTTATAATTAGTTGATTAAGATGCGCAACAGATTCAAAAGCAACAAATGGCATTTAAAAGCATCAAGCACTAATAAGAACAGTATGGTTTGTCTTGCAACACAAAAGTCAACAAATGATCTGTCTTCACCGGTTTTCATCAAATGAAACAAGAACCTACAGAGCCTTGAGAAAACTGCTAAAAAAACCACTAAAAAAAATCCACTGCCCAATTGTCACAAAGGCCCTCTGAGGAGTACCGAGCACATGCAACCGGGAGCTCACTCAGGGCTTGTTTGGATATGAAGGGAAAAATTCCTACCAGATTTGCACGGAAATTGTACATTTGTACTAACATCCATGCCAACCTGAGCTTAATCCCTATCCATCCAAAATTCCAAATAAGCCCTCAGCCTCAGGAACACACACACAGGGGGAAAAACAAGTTAAACTATGAGTACACATGCCAACCAACGCAAGTTCTCAATGAGGGAATTAACCGAAACTACAAAAGCAGACTCAGTGACAGAATTACTATTCTTGCACTGTTGCTTCTGACAAATCATGTTCTCTACTTCTCTTGGACCTAAATCCAGAACTTACTCTTTGAGTGTCAAGGCCTCAAGGGAATTTAACAAAAAGAGCAATAGAAAAAATATATATGTGTAACAGGATTGAAGATACCGGCATAAAAGTATCTTGCAAGTGAGTACATAGATTAATATGATTTTTAAAGTAACTTTCATATAGAATTTTTTTTGCAAAAAACGTAGTATTGTTTAACAGTTCGGGAAGTGAGCGCGCAGAAAACAAGGGAGTAGAAGATCGGAAAATTTAGTGCCCAGAACGCACCCTTAAGGTATCAGCAAACTGACCTGAGAGTGTTAAGAAGCGAACTTGCTTCTGAGGTGAGTCGGGATTGACCTTCACACATTGTGCATCCTGGAACACGTCGAGTCTCCCCAGCTGGTGAATGTTTTAAACATTCCACATCAATGAAGAAACATAAGCAAATAAACAGTGGTTAAACAACAATACCAAGAAATGATGTGTAAGAGGCTTGAAGGGCAACAAGGGAAATCCAACAAGGAGCCCATGTACTATGTAGAAGCAGACATCAAGAATAAACAGACCATGTTCGCTATAAAGTAATAGGAGTACAGATCTAAAGTACATCATATTTGGATAAACTGAACACAGTTTCAAAGGACCAACATAATTTGTAATGTAGGTTTCACACCAATTCTGCATCTCAGGTGCTTGCCTGTAATCTGTATGTGCTAGCCATTCTTTATGACACATCAGGTGAAGCCAGAATTTTTCACTCATCCAGACCAACAGACCCCAATGGCTTGTAAATATACCCCCACACCATCTTGAAAGTCGAAACCGTGTTCATTTGGGACTGATGTTTCAGGGATCGAACCAGACAACGATTCTGCATGTTATTCGGACTTTGACTCCTTTCTGATACATATCATCAAACACAGGTGCGCATGTTGCAATCCCATCCCCTACAACTGGAAATTTATGATGACATGGTTCCCAATCACCCATCACTACTAGCAACCGAAGATGTGATTCAGATGCGATTGCATTTTTTTTATGCGTATTACATATTTCGTATCAGTAGTTCGACACACAGCCTACAGCACTGGTGCACTACGAGTCTACGACTACAAGCAGCATCCCCAAATCCAGAAGTTAACGCAGGCGATACAGAAATTCAGAAATGAAGCCAGAACAGAAAAGGGCATCTAGGTTTACAGTTACAGGAGGGAATGGATGCATCATGTAATCATGTATGGGCGAGAGAGAGAGAGAGAGAGAGAGAGAGAGAGAGAGAGAGAGAGAGAGAGGAGAGAGACCGAGACAGCACGCGCGTACCGAGTCCGCGGCGGCTGCGGCGCCATCGAAGTTGGGGATGCGGTGGTGGACGGGGCGCGGGTCGCGCGCGACGCCCTCCGCCTCCAGCGCGTCCCACACCCGCTTCCGTATCGCCCACTTCCACGCCTTGGGGTCCGCCGCCTCCGCCCCCGCCACCGCCGCCGCGGACGCCATCCCGGCCCGCGCCTCTGCGTCGAGGCGGAGCCGCTCGGCCTCGAACCCCGCCGCGTCGAACGAGGCCGACGAAGACGAAGCCGCGCCCCTCGCAGCTGCGCACGTCACGGCGCGGCCGCGACGAGAGGCTGCCGCCGCCGCAGCCAACGACCGAGACAGCGACAGCGGCGGCGGCGACGCCGGCAGGAGAGGCATGGCCACTCGCGTGTGGACGCCGTGAAGGTGAGCACGTGTGCTAATCGAGCACCTTACCCACAATCTCCTTTGGACACTGACAGGTGGGACCAATAACAAGGCGAGTACGCTCACAGCTGACATGTGGGACCACTAGCTCAGAGAGAAAGCGTGAAGTGCAACGAGAGCATCGAGCTGATGCAACACTCCACCAAAACAAATTTCAAATTTGATTCAACCAATTGGTAGCTGAAAGATGCAAGGCAGGCGAAAAAACATAACTATCGAGTTCAAAATTCATAAATCTCAACAGTTTGATCATCCGCAGCACCAGCAGCTCAGAGTAGCAAAGCATTTAAACTGGGTACTCAAAATATCTGCCACAAAACTCAGGACAAGTACAGAAACTGGGAAAGCTATCAGGTGAGGTTCGATTGAATTCTGATGGCCTAGGCCTTGAGCTTGCCGAAGAACCTCTGCTTCTCGTCGGTGGTCTGGAAGCGACCGTGCCCGAACTTGGACGAGGTGTCGATGAACTTGAGCTTGATCTCCTCCAGGGCGAGCCGCGAGGTCTGCTTCAGCAGCGACTGGCGGAGGGTGACGACTCTCTTCTTCGGACCGACGCAGCAACCCTTGATCATGAGGTAGTCGCCCTTCACCACACCGTAGTGCGGGAAGCCGCCCATCGGGGTGATGTCCTTCTCAGTCCTGCAAGGGAGAAAGGTCAGATGTCATCACAACCTTAGAATGGAATGCACATAACATTACTCAAGGCCTTCAAACGTTCTAAAGATGTATACCTGTCGAACTCGGTGCAGGCCGCATGAGACTCCTGACCAGACTTGCCAATCTTGTAAACCTTCTTGTTCATCTCAGTGCGGTGGTGGTATCCGTTCTGACCAGCACGGGCAACAGTGTAGGACACCCTGGCTGGATGCCAGGCACCAATACAAGCAACCTTGCGGAGACCCCTGTGGGTCTTGCGAGGAAGGCGGGTGACACCCCAACGAGTGACGACACCTTCATAACCCTTACCCTTAGTGACACCAATGATGTCAATCATCTCGTCCTTCTGGAAGACTGCATCAACAGGGATTTCCTTCTCAAAGAACTTGTAGCCATAGTCCACCTTGTCGGCGATAGTGCCACCGTTGATCTGGATCTCCATGAGGTGAGCCTTCTTCTGCTTCAAGCCCTTCATCTTTCTGATCTGAATTTTGACAAGAAATGGTCAGCAAAACATGATAACTCTTCAGAATTCAGAAGAGTACAAGAGGCAATGGCAATCTCACCTGAGTGTGGGCAATAACACGAACAATAGATGCGTACTTCTTCATCTTCTCAAGTTGCATCTGGATTTCTTTCTTGCCAGCATCACTGTCATACTTAAGGGCATACTTAGTGAAAGCCTTCTTCTTGCTTTTGCACCAGTTCTTGTAGAACCTTCTCCGCACCTCCTCGCTAAGGTGCTGGGCCCAGACAGAGTTGAGAGAGCGAAGTCCACGAGGTGTCTTGACATAGGCCACGAGTCCAACAATGACAAGCGGAGGGGTCTCGATGATGGTAACAGCCTCGCAGGTTTCCTTCTTGTGGAGCTCTGCACATTGTCAACATATGGTGTTAATATGTTCAAGGCATACCTCCAATGAACACGAATGCAAGATGCAGAGCAACTTACTGGAGCCAGGCTTCTCGACCTCACGCACAATGTGTGTCATTCCAGCCTTGTAGCCAACGAAGGAAGTAAGGTGGCAGGGCTTTGATACGTCATCCTTGGGGAAGGACTTCACTGCAAAAACATAGGATCTAGTGTCAGCGTACAACTGAATAGTAACTAAATTCTCCAAGTTCCACAGAAGCAATATATATCCCATTGGGTTATGCCTATGTCCTGAAATTTTAAGTTGGGTTACATCCATGTACAGACATTTTAAAGACAGGTGCATTCTTAACTATTTATGTACCACATCAATAAAACAAAAAATCTATGAGCATGTGTCAATCTAGGTATGTTAGCAGCATATATACCAAAAGGATTAGAAAATAAAGCGCTATATTTAGGAACACATAGCCAAACGAACATCCAAATGATTGCGAAAATACTCTAATAAGAAACACCTGTATCTACCTAACAGAAAACATACGAACCATATCACGCGTACACACTTAGATAGCTGAATCTATTAGCTGCACAATATGGATTACTACATCATGCCGCACTAGATTATGATTCGCAGAGCATAACGAAATCCCTCGTCAGATCAATACGGACAGTGAAACTCGCAATCAACTCGCTGGGCATAAACGAAATCCGTCTTCAGATCAATACGGACAGTGAAACTCGCAATTCATGCATCACCAATCAAGCGTGTGGAAGGCAAAGGATTCACGTACCCTTGCCGCGGTGGCGGGAGGAGCGCTTCCTCGGGAGGAAGCCGAGGGATCCATGCCTCGGGTGCTCGAACTTCCTGTGCGACATCTTCCTCCTCCTTACCTGCAAACGAAACCCACACAAGCCATGAGATCCGCAACCAAGAAAATGCCCGTAAAATCACCAATCGCAAGCCACAGCGATCAAACTACAGCACCAGCGACGAGAATTCGATCTCCCAGCTAGCTCACTAACAACTAATGGCGGATTGCGGACACGGAGCGGAGGCAAAATCTGAATCGAAGCGGGGATTGGAGGATGAGGAGGGGAGGAGCTTACCTGAGGAGAGTGACGGCGACGGCGGCGGCGGCGCGAGCTGAGTGCAGAGGCGAGGGAGGTAAACCCTAGGGGTGGTATTTATAGGCGGCTACCGAATGGAGGGTTTCGCTGGGTCGGGCGGAAATGTAGGAATGGGCTTGAATGCTAGGGCTTTGTGTGGAGGTCGCAGACTGGGCCTCACACTAGGTAAAGCGAATGGGCTTTTGGACTGGATCGCTTGGACACGACCACACCAACTTGCTTACGGCCCAAATACGTCTCTTTCTGAGTGTTTTGTATTATGACAGTGGAATATTGTGTACTTTATCTGTTCACAAATATAAACATTTTATGTTTTTTAAATTTGTTCACAGATATAAAGATTTTTAGAATAGTAATTGCTTCATCAATCACCTCACGTTTTAATTTCTTTCCATCTTACTCTCAGTAATCCTTCTAATCCCAAACATACTTCATTTTATGATACATGTCAAAGCCTTTTTATCCTCAAGTCTAATATCTGCTAAAAAAAACTAAAATTGTTTATATTCTGTTGGAATAAATAGGTTAGGCCAAATTTAATTTAATTAAAATCTTAAGATCCCATAAGTATTGTTAGAGACAATAATACTACCTTGAAAATTTATGTGGAATAACCTCAACTTAAATAGAGTGATATTGGAGAATCCATGTTGACCGGTTGAGGTGATGGTTGGACTGCCACACGCGCGCGCGCCGAGTCGGCCTCGGCCGTGGGCGTGGCGAGGCGAGGCGGCCTGCCGAGCCAAGCCTCTTGTTGCTCTTCCGTTTTGTAACAGACGAAAATAAAGTCACCATTAACAAATGAAATTCATTGTGTGTTGTAACCTACACAACAAATGAGAGATTCATTGTGTTGTAACCTCCACAACAAATAGAGATTTATTTGTTGTAACCTCTACAACAAATAGATTCATTGTGTGGTAACCTTCACAACAAATGAGATTTATTTGTGTGGTAATGGAGATCTCTCTATATAAATAACGCAAAGGAAAAGGCTCTCAAAGATTGAGTCTTCCTCCTGCTGATGTTCCTTGGCGATATTCTCCTTTTGTTCCTGCGTTGTCTCTCTGTTTCCCCGGTTCTGTCCATCCCGCACGTACGGTAGATCGGAACGAGCAGGTGCCTCCGAAACTTCATCCGCTTGAGAACCTGCACGGGTAGGCGGGCGATTAAGTTTTTGGGGAGCGCTACGTGCGACTGCTTTTGTTCGTCTCCCTCTGCATCATCCTCGCCAACATGACGAACACCGGCGACAACAGTAACACTGGAGACAAGGAGAAGGAGGCTCCCGTTAACACCAACGGAGGCAATACTGCCTCAAACTCCAGCGGAGAGCCATTCTCGGGGTATAACGATTTACTATTACCGTTTGTTCTTCGTTTCCTACTACTGTCAGTCGCAATGTTATTGCGTTGCCTTGTCTATGTTGATGCTTATTTTATATTAAGCACACTCATATTGTACACATTTAGCACTGCCACTAGATCTTCTCAAATTGCAAATGTCATGTTGAAAGGACCTTGATGTCGCCTAGAGGGGGAGTGAATAGGCGGTTTTAAAAAATAAATGTGGAAGCTAAGACAAAACAGGGTCGGATTGTCTGATATCAGGTCGGATAGTCCTATGTGATCAGATAGTCTGAACTGAGATCAGACTATCTGACCTGCACAACAACAATACAAACAAGAAACAACCTAAAAGCTCTAGATCCAATCCACAAGCAAGGAGGTGAGCTCAACCAACAACAGTAAAAGCATGGCACAAAGCAATGCAACAAGAAGGTAAATATAGTGAGAATATCACCGAGGTTTACGCGATGATGTATTTCCCGGAGTTCAAATCCTTGAGGGGATTCTAGTCTCCGTTGAGGGGCTCGCAAAGAGACGGGTCTTTTTCAACCCTATCCTCGTGAGATTGCACAAATGCACTCCTCCTTCCACTAAGGATATCTCTTTCCTTGCGGAGGCGAGATCCGGCCTTCACAAACTTCTCTTGGCCAACCACATGTAGATCGGTGGCCCAAGAACAACACCTAGCCATCTAGGAGTCCTCAACCTCCAAGAGTAATAAACACCACACAACTCTTGGACAAATCCTAGTGCTCAAGATCAAGAGAAACACACACTAGGCTCCCAAACTCCAAATCCACACACAAAGATCTAAGTCACAAAAAACAAGAGAGATTTCAGATAGAGAGGGAGAGAGCTCAAAGATCCAAAGCATTTAGCACAAAGCTTAACCCAAAACAAGATTTGAATGAAATGTATTTTGGGAGACCCTAGAAAAGGGTTGGTGGGGGGTTTATATAGATCCCCCAAAATGTGACCGTTGGAGGGGAATC